ACGGGCCTCGGGGGTCGGCGGCGGTGGCGCCACCCTGTGTAGAGGTAAACCTCTAGGAGGGACGGGCTCCGCCCTGGACCACGGCGGCGTTGCCGGATTTAAGCCACTGCCACCGACCCGACACCAGTTGCACCCGCATCGGCCGTTAAGCGCATTAAGCGCAACCTGTGCAGAATGGGTAATTACGCTCTGCGGGGAGATACTGTCACATATAGCATAGGAAGTTTTGGAGATGCTGCCCTGCCAGTCTGCTTTGGATGCACAGCTGTGTGCATCAGCAGGAGATGCTTGTGAAGGGGCGTGCAAGCAGAAGATGCAGTATGTTTTCTTGAAGCTTTGGGAGGGCTTGGGGGCGGCTGGGAGGCCGGGGACTAGGACTGAGTGGCCAGGGGATAGGCCGGAGCGGCAAAAACTTGATGCCCAGTTTGGCATTTAGAAATTCGGACAAAATTGAACTCCCGTAAAAAAGGAAAATGAGCAAAAAGGCTGTGGAAGGCTGGAAATAAGCCCTGGGAGGATCTGGGAGGTCTTGTGAGGGTCTGAGAGGTAATGGGAAGGCAGCTTGGAGGACTGGGGACTAGGACTGAGTGGCTTGATCCTTACAGGGCTTATTTCCAGCCTCTTTTCCTGGGCTTATTCCAGCCTCCAAGCTGCCCAGACCCTCACAAAACCAGACCTCCCAAGCAGTTCTAATCCAAGCTGCCCCCCAAGCCCTTCCCAAGACCTCCCAGACCCTCACATTTCAAGCCTCCCACAGCCTTTTCCTTTGCCGTCAAGTTTTTGCTGCTCCAGGCTACCACTCAGCCTCCAAGCTGCCCCGCAAGCCCTTCCAGACCCTCACAAAACCAGACCCCCCAGTTCTAATGTCCAGTCCTCATAGCCAGCCTTCCCAGACCCTCACAAGACCTCCCAGATCCTCCCAGATTGTATTTCCAGCCTCCCAGCCTTTTCCTGGGCTTATTTTTCCTGCGTATTTTTCTTTTTAACGGAGTTCAATTTCGTCCGAAATTCTATACGCCAAACTGGGCGTCAAGGTTTTTGCCGCTCCGGCCTATCCCCTAGCCACTCAGCCCTGCTCCCCCCCTTCCCAGACCGTCACAAAACCTCCCAAACCTTTCCAAGCCCCGCAGTGCCACGCACCCTCACAAGACCTCCCAGATCCTCCCAGGCTTATTTCCAGCCTCCCACAGCCTTTTCCTGGGCTTATTCCAGCCTCCCACAGTCTTTTCCTGCTTATTTTTCTTTTTAAGGGAGTTCAATTTCGTCCGAAATTCTATACGCTAAACTGGACGTCCGCTCCGGCCTATCCCCTATAGCCACTCAGTCCTAGTCCCCGGCCTCCAAGCTGCCCCCAAGCCCTTCCCAGACCCTGAAAAAACCTTCCACACCCCCCCAACCCCCCCAGTCCTCCAAGCTGCCTTCCCAAGACCTCCCAAACCTTCACAAGACCTCCCAGATTCTCGCAGGTCTTATTTCCAGCCCCACGGCCTTTTCCTGGGCTTATTCCAGCCTCCCACAGCCTTTTCCTGCTTGTTTTTCTTTTTAACGGAATTCAATTTCGTCCGAAATTCTATACGCCAAACTGGGCGGCGGTCTGGGAGGTTTTGTGAGGGAGGGGATAGGGCA